CTCAGGGTTCTTCAGACCCTTGTAAGCCCAGTTAAGAAGGGACGCGCCCTAAACTCTAAACCCTACACCCTAAACCCCGGTTACAGGGAAACGGAGCCCCTGCTGGGCTTAGAAGGTACGTAGGCGGACAACTAATAATTGTGGGGCCTCAACCCTTGCATCGCATACGGGGTGGCAGTCTTCCTAAGCAAGCAGCTGGTTCGTTGACGTCAACCTCTCTTGAATTCCTTCTGGAGATCCATCCCCCTACTTATCAAGACACAAAAGCCCGAACACCTGCACCCAAAAAACATATCCCTAAACCCTTAACCCGAAAGAGCCTAAAACTTAAGACCCAAAGCCTAAAAGAAGAGTCGATCCAGCGCAGTTGCCAGCTTCCCCGGTGCAAAGAGGGACTAAAGTCTGTGCACGAAGTCGGGTCCTACGGTTTCGGATTGCTTAGGCTTCGGGTTTAGGGTTTAGAGCAAAACCCTTAAAGGACTGCCTACCCAGCTACTATGCCTAAATGCAGCAGCGGCGAGGTCGAGTATGGCCACACAAAAATGTGGCACTCTCACCGCAGTTGCTGTGCGGAGCCCTATACGTAATCATACACTCGCCTCGAACCCTGAACCCTTGCAACCCTAAACCCCTATACACCCTAAACCCTATAATCCCAAGATCTTAAGCACCCTTTAAATACACACCCTAAACCCTAATCCCAAAATCTTAAACACCCTTTAAGTTACTACGTCCCCTGATGCTTCCAGTAAGGCCATGGACCCGGTGACGAACCTATACATATTGAACCTAAATCCCTAAACCCTACTCAACTCCCACACCCCTAAACTCCTAAACCTCCGAGCCCCTAAACCCCTCTACTAAACCCCAAGCCCCCAAACCCCTTTACCCCTAAACCCTTCTACTAAGCCCCTAAACCCCCAAACCCCTTTATTTATTAAACCCCTAAATCCCCTTTACCAAACCCTAAACCCTAAACTCGTAAAAACCCTACAGGAACCTCCACTTCCGACAGGAAACCTCTAAACCCCTGAACCCCAAACCGTTTAGGGTTTAGGATTAATTTAGGGTAAAAACCCTAAACCCTAAACCCTGAACAAACCCTACACCCTAATAAACCCTAGCACAGTGAGGCCTCCAGTGAGGAGACTTTGAAGAGTAGCTCGCGCAAAGCTGCGCGCTCTGTCTGGTTCCTGCATTGAGGGGGTTTAGGGTTTAGGGTTTAGCCCTAAACCCTAAACCCTAAACCCTAAACCCTAAAACCCTAAGCCAGGGCATAGGGTTTAGGGTTTAAGGTTTAGGGTTTACCTTAACCTACCAGAACCTCGTTGCTTGTTCACTTTCTTGTAGGGCCCCTACAAATTCCATGTTCGGACTTAGAATAAGAACCTAGAAAATAGGAGAGTTTGGTACCAGTATAGGTTAAGATAGGGTTATTTAGGTCGAGGAGGCTCGAGGGATGCAAGGTTTAGGGTTTAGGGTTTAGGGATGTAGTAAGCAAGATTATGGGTACCAGCAACAAAACCGACACCGAAACAGTAGCCTGAATGAGCGTAGTTTCTCTGGTTCCTGCTTCTGCTCATGGTGGGATTCGGGGCTTAAGGGGTTTAGTATGGCGAGTTGAGGCTTAGTGTATGAATGTCTTACTGTATGGGTATAAACCCTAAACCCTAAACCCTAAACCCTAAACCCTAAACCCGAACCCCTAAACCCTAAACCATAGGTTACCGAAGCTCTAGAGTCTTGGGGGGGTTCGGGTTGGGGCTCCTGATGTCTGTGCGGAACCTTCCTTGTGTGCTCGGAACCCCCCAGATGGTCTGTGCTAGGGTTTACTCCTAGGCCCCATAGCACTTCCTGTTTGGGGTTCATATTTAGAATCCTATAAGGTAATCCAAAATAGGGAACTACTATGGGGCCTATGGGTAGAGCGTATTTTGGTGTATCCCCGAACTCAATAGTTTAGCACTCAGGGTATGTCTGTAGGATTGAAAATCCCAGAGAAGCCGAGAACCCTGAGTTGAAGAACATGCCTGAGAGTCTACAGGGCTTGCGTTGAGGCACCGTGTCGCATCTTTGAGCGCCCTGTTCCGCCCGCCTACGAAAACCGTTAGACCGCAAGCCCGATTCGTTTTTGAAGGCCCTGTCTTGTCTCAAACAGCCCTAACCTCCCTGAACCTGCTGAAACCTTCTAGAAGCCTACAAAAATTCAAACCTGCGACCCCATGAGCTGTCTCGGCCGTATGACTTGAAATATAGGGGCCTGCATAATATCGGAATAGGGCTTGTTGGAAGTGTTGGAATGCATTCTAGCGTAATTAGTTGTAATTGCAATAAGGAGCCCTGAGGAAGAAAAGTAGCATCTAATCAGGCTTCTATATTAGAGGCGGCTCGGCCGTTACCCACCTCGCTCTCCGGATTAGGGTTGAGGGTTCAGTGGGTAAGGGGTCTTGGCTTTAGGATTTAAGGACACATATGAACATCAAAGCCTTCAGTTTATAGGGACCTCAATAATCAGAAACTTTTGTTTTTTGGAGGGGGGGGGGGCGCATTATGGCATGTTGTAATGCGAACTCTAGGGAGTAGTATTAGCGCAAATACCCTAAACTCTGAACCCTAAATCCTTACCTCTAAACCCTAAATCCTAAACCCAAAGCCCTAAACCCTAAATCCTAAACACTAAATCCTAAGCCCTAAACCCTACCTGGCTCTCCCCGCGAGCCCTTTTATTCGGGCCTGTCCGAAATGGGCTTTTGCGAACCTCTGCTTCGGTCTCATAGTCTAAAATAGACCTGTGTCCGAAAGTAGCTCTGTATCTGAAACTCAGCTGAGAATGGTTCAGAGAGGTCCGATTCAGCACAAGGGGATCACGACAGGTCCGTTTCGCATTCAGGGGTCCTTTGGATGCTATAGATTTCAGAGATTCAGAAGCTGCCTCGCAAGACGGGTTCATTTATGATCTAACAGAGGGGTCTTACTTCGCCCTGCTGCACAGCTGTGCTGTCGCATGGTTGGCCGATGGCTGTGTGCCTTTGGCTTCACTTGAGAGGTGCCACCACCCCTGTTTGCTTGCATCTTGATGTTGGTCGTGCATGCAGCTGCTTTTGCACACGTGATGCGACACATGTGCCTGCTCTTGAACGCAATTTGGGTGCTGCATGGAGTGCTGCAGCCATAAGCTTTGAATGATTGGACTTTGGTAATCTATACTCTTTTTGGCCTCACACTCATGAATGTTTGGTGGGATGAGCTCGACCTGAGCCTCCGAAGGCAGATCACGGACGAAGGCCTGTAGTGACAAGAGAATTTGTTTTCTCAATACTCTCTTAGAAAATCTCAAAACAATCCGATGCAGGTCTAGGCGAAATGCCGCTGGAGTTCTGGACGAAAGCCTTCTTTGTCCTAGTGCCAGGGTGGCAGGACTTCTGGGACCTATCAGTTTGTTAGCCCCGCCAGGGCATTCAGCAGCCCCAATGTGTATTCCAGGACGGCGCGAAGGTTCTGCCGAGCATGGTCCAGACTGTGCTTTTGAACTATGGCATAGATGGCTATGCTCGGGATCTGGCCAAGTCATATGGCACAGGACTGTAGGTTCGTAAAACATTAACTTCCACCCGAAGCCTTTGCCAGCTGTATTCAATGTTCCTCCGGGCCCCGACCCCAAATCCTGCATAAACCCGAACCCCGAACTTGAAGCCCTGCACCCTGGCTCGGGCCCCAAGCCTTTTCGATCAGTGCTTTCACGGACAAGGATCCCTCACTGAGGGCTCGTCAGCAGTGCCCTGTCTTGAAATAGAGTGGGGCTAGCAACAATCGCTTGAATCATATTTGGCTTAATGTAGTGCATGCACACAATAATTAGCACGGTGCCCCCTTCCTCAGGAATCCTTGAGCTCAGATGGTCAAGTCCGCAGCGCAGAACCTGGTGGAAGTGAGACTCGTGAGGGCTAGGACTAGGAGTTCAAGTCTGCTGGATGTCGCACTCACTGCTAAATATCCTACATTTCAGCTTCTACTGGGGCATATGAACATATACCATCGTGCAAGACTTCAGCATCAGAACAGGCGAAGGTTCACGATTTCGGCAGCATGTATGGACACACGCAGTGCTGTGTGTGGTGAAAGATTACATGTGGGTGTTTGCTTCCGGCTGCATTGCATGGTGTTGTTTTGTGTGCATGTCCTGAGTGCGCAGGTGCTGCCTGGTCGCTTCGTCTTCACTCTGCAAATCTGCAGCAGCCCCGGGTCCAGCAGCAGTGCAGCTTCAGAGGTCCTTCGCAGTGTGTTGCGTGCATGGGCTGCATAAACCC